ACATGTTCGGCATTTTTTTATGGCAGCACAACCCGAATAACGCCTGCTCCGTGCTCTGACCTAGACCCAGAGTTGGGTATAACGCATCTTTCATTCGATCCCTATACGGGGCATCGTAAACGTCAAACAGAACTGTCGTTACTGACATAGAAGAACACAACTCTCCGTCAAATTGCCAATACAAGCCAGCATACAAGTCCCAGGAAGTAATTGAGAAGAGGATTCGATCGCTGGGACAAGACTTTTATTCGTCTGACGTTTCGACATCCATCGCGGATTCGTCATCAGACACATGAGCAGAAAGCCGTGACAGAAGCGGGTAACACATACAGGGGAAGTTGCAGTACTTGTAGGACAGAGTGTGTCGTCCTACGCCAACACCGGGAAACCAGATGGCCAAGCAGTAATCACGTCCAATTCCACCACGCGGAATGAAATTTCGACCAATCAACACACAAGAGAGCAATTATCGTTAATTGTCGTTATTTGTCATACGTTTATAGTAATAACTCTGTCCTATAAATACTGTAACTTCTCGTGCATGTGTTACCCGGTTCTGCTACTGCTTTTTGTTCGTGTCTCTGATGAAGAATCCACGACAAATGTCGAAATGTCAGACGAATAAATGTGTTGTTTTAACGATCGATTCTTCTTCTTTCCGCCAGACACTCAACATGAGAAGAATATAGGCGTGAAGAATGTCCCAGTGAAGTTATAAAATTTCACTCTGATTCCCTTGCACCGAACTGGCTAAATCAAAGAGCAAGATAAAATTCAACATTAGTTAGTTGTCGAGGACTGAAATTCCTGACCTACAGCGACCGCTACGCAATAACATCACCACTAATGGATGACCGGGTAAAACTGCCGACCAGCGACAAAGATTCGTTGTTGAACGCTCACTGATTGCCAAAGGAACGTAGTCTCTATTAGTCGTCATCAGCCAGTCATACCCAACCCTAGATGATGCATCACCCGAAGCTCAAACCCGCGACCTATTGGCCAGAAGTCAAACGCACCAACTATTAAGCCAGGGGCCCGTGTTTTTCCCGGTTTAAATCGGGAATATTTAAATTCGTTGGTGAACGTTTACTGATTGCCAACGGAACTCACTCTCGAGCCCCGTCAGCAGTCACACGACGGCTAATCGGGTAGATGGAGAAACATTATCGAGGAAGACAAGGGAGACTGGAATGGACATGTGTGGCTTATGAGCAGCTATCAGTCAAGTAAATCAAGCAGGAGGCGGTGCAACACCCGGGGCTCGAACCCGCGACCTGCTAATCAGAGGTTCAACACTGTCACAATTTAAAAACTTTTCCTTACACTAGGCGTCATTCGTGTATAAATGTAGAATGTGTACTACACAGGGGAAAGATGACGCCGGTATCGTAGGTAAACTAATGGCCGCAGTGTACTGCGTAGTGCAAGTGGAGACAAAGATGTGGCTGAATGCGTCGGCAGATTCCTCCTGTTATTGATCCGCCCACACACAAAGGCACGCACGCACGCGCGACCTTCAAGGAGCAGACACCACGCGATGCTGCCGGATAGGGATCAACCAAGAGGGAGGGACCAATCAGATTTCCAATCGAGTTGCTACTCCCGTGAGGACACAATCGGATTGGTCAGATCTTACAACGCTTGTTTGTTTTAATATCCGTACTGGGTACGCAAAAAAGACTTCCTTTTCCCGCGCCTTTGTCTCCT